TAATTTCATCAACTTTGCCATTTTGACGAGAATCTTGGATTGTGCAAAATTTATGTGAAAAGCAAAATTGTGAATTTAATCACGCTTTTAAAGTGAGAATGATATATTAACCAACAAAAATGTATATTAACTAACCCAAAACATGTTACACGACATACCAACTTAATTTGTTAGTTGGAAATGCCATGGAGCCTTGCCTCAAATATTTTGTTAGATTTAACAATGAATTGAACATGATATTGACGAAAAAAATTCATATAATCGGTTTAAAATTCAATGCTCTCAAATTCTTTTATAAGACTGTTTAATTTGTTCTTTAAATTTCAGGCACTCAATTGTTATCGCGTTTATCTCAAGTCCATGATAGATATTCAATCTCAAATAATAAATGATATTAAGAGACAAATGATTCATTGGCTTCATTCTCTCTACTCACCAGGCTGACCATAAATTGGACCAAAGTTAACGTTATCTTGTAAAGAAAATAGCACTGCAGAGGTTCGTCTCTCTCTCTCTCTCTCTCTCTCTCTCTCTCTCTCTCTCTCTCTCTCTCTCTCTCTCTCAAAAGCTTGAACATCTTTGCTTGGATTAATATACTTAATGATTGTAATTATTTTCATGTGTTATATTTGCAAAGCATTCTATGTCGGGTCAAGCCCTCCAACTAGTTAGATGAACAAATAATTCAAGAATGGCAACTAATAATAAACATTAAAAATAGTTTGATCAATACATAATACATTTGTATATCACAACTTGCAAATATCTATATGAAATTTCCACATCAGACATAATCCAAACAACCATAATCTGGTGGTTTACTAATACTAAACTATGTTAATTATCTTGTTACATTTCATAATCAATTGGTCTTTTTGACATGAATTATTTGTAGGAAAATGATATATGCACACACAAAGATATGCTAACAAACTAAACTCAATCATTAGGCAGTTACGAGTTCGAATTATGTTACAATCATACTACTTGTACAATGAATTTGACAATATGTGAGTTGGCAGGCATAATGTCCATTAATTTGAAAAACTGTTTTTAAATTTAATGGTTATGATCTTTACACTTTACATATTGTCAAATTCATTGTGCAGATTCATTTTTCAAATAGATTAATTCATTATGTTATTGGATTCATATTTGTGAACTTATAATTTGACTTTTCATTGTACATTCACTTTATGTACTTTTTTTTTTGTACTGCTAAATATTTCTATTCCTAATTACAGTATTACTATGTGATTTATACATTTATCTGGATCGTTAAATGAGATCAATTGTGATTAATTTTGATAACTTGTGGCTCAATTAAAATTTTGTTTGTTAGGTAAAAATCGAGGCAAGATGGTGGAATAGGAAGAAAAGAACGAAAAAATGGCAAAAAAGGAAAAAAATTTAAAGTTCGGGTACCAAAGTGTAACATCCAATAGTTGATTTGGGTCATAAAATGATTATTAAAGATCATAAATGATCAATTGGATGCAATTGTAGGTCAAAGAAATAAAATATAGTTACAGTATTTCTGCAAATCAATTTTCAACTAAAGAAGTTATACTCTGAATTTTTAGCCTCGAATTGAGATCCACTTTTGGGGTAAGAAATGTTTGAATTTGAAAATTTCTATTTATCTTTGAAAGAAAGTTGAATATAATAGCTCTATCGATTATCAAGAACATATGAATATAATTAAACTATATAATTAAAAATTGAAATAGATAACAATAAGCATATTCGAATTCCAATACAATCATACATAATTTGATATAAAATCACTTTTTACTGCTTTCTTAGATAATTTAGTATAAAATCAAATCAAAATCTCTCCCTTCATTTACATAATTCGAATTTCATACAAAACTAATACATCTGAATAAAAATTTGTTCTCTGTGGAGCGATACTCTATCTCATTCAAACTACTACTTGTCAACGATTTTCTAGAACACTATGAACCCCACAATCAACGACAGCACAATGCCCTTAATTCTCATTTGGAGGTTGAACGGACCTATATATGGAAGTTGGGGCTACCCACAACATTGTCCCCAAGGGAGGAGTTTATAGACCTTAATTATAGTAGCATGGACTTCTTTTTCTTTTTAGATCAGTTTAAGATCATATTGTTCTTTTACAAAGAGAAAGACAGTCGTGCATTCCTCTTCATTACGCTAACAGCCTAAACTCTTCCTACCTCTAAATCATTCCTATAATGTAGCTATCCCTCTTTGATCCAATCAAAATTCAAAAAGAAGAGAACAACTAGTGCTCCTACATTATGCCTTTGTTTGTCAACATTTTATTACATTTTATCACATTATTTTTTCCTAAAGTACTCATTTTCAACCACACATTCTTCATTAGAATAATATTACACGTAAATCTAAAAAAATTTCTTCTTTTTTAATCATGCATTTCAACATCAATCACTATTCCATAATACACTTTTCGAAATTATAAAGGGGCACAAACAGGCCCTATATATCAATCGATGACATATTATTAGACTTGGAGAATGTATTGTCCATACTCGAGAGATCAACTCAATCAGAATTTAAACGGAATTCATTTCTTCTATATACAAATACTTCAAATAAATCTTCCTGACCCTAAAATAAGAATAAAACTATGTTCATACACCAAAATTTGATATGCATTTACTGAAACAAATTCTTCATTCACTTAGTTATATGGTTTAATATTTTTCCCTTATTTGTGATAATGTATTCTTCAGTGCCGACATAGTAATTTTGAATTATCTATGAAATTTTGAATTCACGCCTCTCTAGGTAACCATGAGGGACAACAATAGAATCAATTTACACAATATCAATGTTTAAGATTTCGTGGAGGATTAAAGTATCTCAAATCTCACACTTAATTCCATGAACTCGAGGATAAAATATGCTGCACAAATCCAATATTTGGAGGATGATTGTCTCCCAATTCACAAATTTAATTAAACCTTGGTTATAGATGACTACAATAAGGTGGACATATGTTCATAGGGAAAGGTTTTTAGGATATTTTTGTACTAAGTTTTATGGATTCACATTAACCAAGAATTTGACAAATTCACATGCTTGTATTAGCATCGAAATATTTTCTAGGATTCTTTGATATTTACTTCAAATAATATATAGATCATGCTTATATCTTTTGGACCATGTATATTGCCTGAGAAAGTAATTAAATTGAAAAGATAGCTCATCTTAAACAAATTATCAATAGTTCGAGAAGAAGTCCGACGATCAAGTCAACGGTTGGATAAGGACTAGCAAATGCAAGAGTGGAATTTGAATAAACTTAGAATAACATTATCTTTGGTGAATAATGAACTCACATATATAGAGAAAAAGAGAGATTATCCAAAATAGATACAGTAAAATGGGTCCAAGTCTAAGCCTTCAATTATCTGAATAATCGACGTCTAGTCAACTTATGTGGGATCCACTACGTCACACACATTCTATGTAATTTATAGATATAACAGGTACAACTATTTTAAGACCTTGGTTTTCTCTAAATCTTTTGAGTTAATTTATTTAGTTTTTATAAAATATCGACATGTATTATCTCATTCGTACTACTTAACGGATATTGTTGCTTCAGCTTTTTTTTTTTTTTAATACGAGGGAACCCGCAGCCCGCACTAGGTAAATTCTCGGGCTGATGCAATAGCCTACAAACCATGCCAGCCAAATAAATTGCACTAGGCAAGTTCGATGCGGCAGACTTAACCAAGAAAGTATTAGTAGAGAGAATTAAACTCATGATCAAAGGTTTCCGCGCTCACCTATTCCACCAACTCGATCACCCCATGAGGATATATTGTTGCTTCAACTTGATTGTATAGTACGATGTACAAAACTTGTAAAAACATTGTACTACACAATTAGCAAGATAAAAGATGATGGAGTGAGAACACGATTAAGATCATTAAAAACTAGATTAAAAAGGATAATTTATAGTGAGAACATTGAATTGAGATTACAAACAAAGGTAATGTTGACCTCAAAAAGTGTACTTCCAGATGGCCAACAGATCTCGATACCTATCACGTTCGAACAAGCCGTTTTCCTGCACAATAGGACAAATCGTTAGAGACGCGTGGCCTTCTCCGATGGGGGTGGAGCCGGCCGCACGCACTCCGAGGGTTAAGTCAGTTGGGGAAGATATATGTGAGTGTGGGAAGGCTTTTAACGTGAGCTTCCAATATAAAGGAGGTCGGAATCGGGAGTAAAAAATATAGAGAGCAGAGTTATAGTATCAAAGTCTAAACTTGCATTATCTTGGAATGACACCAAGTGTAAACTTTTATAGTAGAAGAGGGTGAGTAAGAGCTAGCTTTTATAGTAGAAGAGGGTGAGTAAAAGCTGTTAGATAAAGAGACACGTGACCTCATCTTGGCGGCTAGGGCCTCTTGGTATAGGCATCAATCAGTCAGGCTTAGGCTCAAGTGCATTTAATGTTATGACCATTAGTAGTTCTAGGCTTGACATGTAAGACTAGGCTTGACTTGCTGATTGAATTGGGCCACCCATGCAGTGAGTTGTCACATCACCCACTTACTATAAGATCTTGTACAAGGATCTTCCTTAAGATGCCTCTACCTTCCTCGCCTCGTTCATGGGGGCTTGGCCCTTCATTGGGGTCATGGGGGTTCGGCCATATTGCTAGTAGAATGATGTGGAGTGTCGGCCTAAGTTCTCATGCTATGCAGCTGCAATTTGTCAATGCTTAGAGCCTTATTGGAAGAGGTGTAGCAGGTAATAATATCACACGAGGACAAACGAAAGGACAGTAAAATATGTTTATCCAGAAAGAGAAATAAAAATAAAGAGATGCCTGCCAATGCCATTGTACAAAAATTCAGCAAATCAGAAACAAAAGGTTGGGATGGAGAGTGAAATTTGAGGGAAGGATGACGTTTTTTCTTTAAAGTGTAGCAATAAAGAATGAGAGAGAAATAGAAAAAGGGTGCAACAAAAACCATAAAAGTATCAAGGAGTCACTTTCAAGAGAAAGCATTTTGGAGGATCTTTCCTTATTCTTAGAAAAACATTGTACTAATAAATTTTGAGTCGAGTTGAGTTACGATGAGTTCTTGTTCACTGATCCTTGTTCAAGGGTTCTTTTAGGACAGAGAAGTGTTAAGGCAATTCTCTTTTCTCTACTGAGATCAAGAAAACGGAAGTTTTGCAGGAAATTTTGGGTGCTTGTAACTGGAATGATTGTCAGTTCTTTGCAGTACTTAGTATAGATTACTGTTAGATTAATCTAGTATGAAAAGCTGTGTAAAGTGAGAAGAATAAATATGGGTTAGGCTAAATTTTTGCATTGATAAAATTTGTAAGATAATGGTAGCAACTTTTGGCATTCAGATTTGTCAGTTGCAGTCTTGCGGAAATAGCACAGCAAAAGATTACCGTAAATAAAAAGCTGGAACAGCAGGGAAAAAAGCACAAGAACAAGGTTCTGAGTCTGGATCATCCTCCTCATCTTTATAATCAGAACCAGACCGAAACCCAAACCCAAAACAAGGTCCAAGGAGTTGAAGAAGAGTCCCAAAAGACGCAACTGGCGGCATCCCATGAATACCATCAACATTTATATCAATCCCAAGAACTTTTCCAACAGCATCAGCGAATCTACAGTGGAAGATTAGACACTCAGTTGCAGCAGCCGCCGCTCAAGAAACGATTGTCAAGTGTGGAACATGCAAGATTGCGAGAGAAAATGGGAGAGAGTACTCATCGTCATCAAGCACCGTCGAGATTAAGCCTGAGGAACAGGGGGGGCGAGATACTGGAAGTCGAAGGAGGTCACGTCATGAGGTCCATTGGTCGAAAAGACAGGCACAGCAAAGTCTGCACCTCCAAAGGCCCAAGGGACCGCCGTGTTCGCCTAGCTGCACCCACTGCAATTCAGTTCTATGACGTCCTGGACCGCCTTGGCTATGATCGTCCGAGCAAGGCGGTGGATTGGCTCATCAAAAAAGCCAAGGCATCCATCGATGAGCTCGCACACCTGCCTGCCTGGAATCCCACCACTGATTCTGCTGCAAATGTAAATTTTGAGCAAGAAGAAGCCCAAAAACAACTGGAGGAAAATCAGCGGCTGCGTGCTAATTTTTTGCCTCCATCAGTGGACTTCGATGATATTGCTGACACTGTCATGTCGTTTTTTCCAATGAGTGGTTCAGTTGAGGCAAGCTCCTCAGCTATGCATTTTCAGAGCATCCCAACTTCGGATTTGATATCAAGAACCAGTAGTCACAGCCAAGATCTGAGGCTCCCTTTACAGTCTTTTCAAGATCCAATTCTGCTCCACCACCACCACAACGAACAACCTCACCAGTATCAAATCCCCAGCCACCACACCGAACAAACCCATGTTCAAGCACAAGCACAAGCACCAGTCCGATTCACCGAAACCACTCCACTTCCACTAGGGTTTGATGACAACATAGGCAGGTCTGAACACTATCAGCAGCCTAGTTGGAATAACAGTGGAAATGCCTCAAGCGGGAGCGGTGGAGAAGCTGGATTCTTGTTCGATTTTCCGCCAGCTGCCCAGTTATTAGGCCAAAACCAGTTCTTTTCTCAGAGGGGACCCCTTCAGTCCAGTAATACACCTTCTTTTCGTACTTGGATGTATTCGCCTGCAATAACCATCGCCACCAGTGATCATAGTCAGCAGTACCATCCAGAGATTGTGCCAATTTATCGAACATCAATATCTGGGGTTGGATTTACTTCAGGAATAGGCACGTTCTCTGGATTTCACTTTCCTGCACGAATTCAAGGTGATGAAGAGGAGCATGATCGTTATCCTGAAAAACCATCCTTTGCTTCTTCTGACTCTCGCCATTGATTTTAGCTCACAAAACTGGAAACTCTCTCTGCTTCATTACCAGGTAATAATATTCTCAAGGCCCATTATTTGTACAAAGTGTGTTTACAAATTTGGTTGACAAATAAGTGTTGGCAAAATCCAGATCATTGATTTCCAATGATTTAAAAAAACTGTTTTTGAAATGATTGGTGTAGGTATTACTTTGTTAACCAACTTTGTACATATAGCACATCTCATTTTCAATTTTGTTGAGTTATATCTCATCTTGTTTCAATTATATATGTTCTTTGATGATATATGTTGCTATATGTAACTTAACTTGCAGGGCTTTATCCATTTCTCAGTACCATGGAGAGAAATTCAGTGATTTAGTTTCAGGTTTTTCGATCCCAGGTTTGTTAATCTGTGTATGTTGTTAATGTTTTCATGTTTGAATGAGCTATTAGCGTTGTTTCAAGATACATTCAGATTTTCTTCTGTTTTTCGTTAATATTTATGTATTCATATGCAATCTTCATGACGTCCAAACTCCATTTATTTTTTAATACCTTAGCAAGGCCACAATCTTTTAATGGGCGGCGTTGAGATTAAATTTATACATTTTTTAAGGAGTTCATAAAAAAAGTATGAATGGAACCATTTACTTATTTTAGTATTTAAAGCACCTACATAGGGCGTTGATTCTAACTATCCCGATAAAACTAGCAATTGCTTCCAATCACATATGTTCGCATAGACAAGATCATTTGATTACCCAGTAGAACATTGATCACCCGTCATGCATACATGGACTACCATGTTACCACCGTATTGGATCGCTTCACCATGTTAGTGTCACATAGACAACCATATCACGCCGTTGCATCATACTTTTCAATTCTTGAAACTTTTAGGGATTTTCAACTTCTTGCGACGACAAGTACTTCTGAAGTGCCCCTCTAAAACGTTCAATCAAGAGTTGTGTTTAATTATGAGTGAAGGAAGTGAAATGGTTTATAAGCAAGTCTATCTTTGGGCTCACCTATGCAAGTTTTAATTTTGACCTACACATAATAGAATTAGATATAAGCATTTTTTAGTTATGAATGATATGAACAAAAAATCAATTGTGACAAACATCCATAAAAATGATTGGCGCTTTGTAACTTGGCCATCCATTCATGATCCCCAACCAGAAATTTCTGGGCTTCGCAAGAACCTCCAAGTCTGGCAGAAAACTATATTTCACATTTAATAAACCAGAAAATCGTTAAAAACACAAGATTTGGCTTCTATTGAGATGGTGACAATTGCTTGATGATTACAGATTTTTGAGATTACACGAAATTTTGGAGATTCCTAAGGCCTATCATTAAACAAAGATATCATGTCCAAACACGAAACAACATAGTATAACATTTATTCTTCGTTAGAAATAAAAATTTAGTTAAAAATAAACTTTCAAGCTTAGCCAAACATATATCAATGAAATGTAGACAGAACATACTATTGGGGAACAAGCAATTTTCTCTAGAAACTTCATATGCACACTCCAAACAACTTACAACCCTCAAGTCCAAGTTCATAGTTTAATTACGTAATCACTGAATATATTTTTTCACAAAGGAATAAGATATTAGATCAAACTTATTGGATTTTGTTTCTTTCAGTCGGACGAACTTGCTACTCGAGATTTGCATCGGGGGAAGCTTGCTTCATAATAGTTTGGCTAGAATTTTTTCTTGCATGAGTAGGATCCTTTCCATTGGACAAATGTGGTTTAACTGAAACAATGATGTTCGTTTTGGCTAAGTTCGTAGTTTTACTGGTCTTTTGCTTGCTGCCGACTTTCTTTGGCATGGTAGAACTCACTTCGACCCGTTTCTCCCATGGACGGACAGCTATCCATCGCTCCTTCCAGCTCCACCCGCAGTTGTCTTTGCTAAGGTCATAATAAGTTTGACCAAGGTACTGGCTCGAATTCGCCCTCCACTGCAAGAAATTTACTGAGTCATTGCCAATTGAAAGTGCAATGTAATGGAAATCACAATTGATAATTGTAATAAATCTTCTTTTAAGATGACGAGCCTGATGAGAAAAGGCGTATGCCATGGCTCGCTCCCTTCTGGCTGCTGCTTCTTCTCGCTGCTGTATCCTGTTGAGAATTTCTTCCATGGTTTCAGAGCCACCACACCATTCTACCTGTTCGGAAAATTCAGAATTTAATGTCCTTTGCAGACAGAACAACTTAGGCACTAAAATCTTGAATAGAGAATTGTCTCCTCGGGGAAACACATTCCAATCTCTCTTGAATTTACTCGGGGAAAATATTGCTACAAAGTCAAATTCTCCATTAGGTTGGAGCATTTTTCTGAGAAAATAAATACTTTCCATGGTCGGAGCAGGTTTTACGGGAAGCTCATTCCTACTTTTCTCTACACTATACTTTAGCAATATACTTTAATTCCTTTTCTTTCTTTTTTTTCTTTTTTAAAATTTAGGCATTTACGAGTTAACTGATGTGACAACATGGGCTGATTTACTTATCCGGCTTGTTAAAACTCAGCACTTTCAAATTGTACAAAATTACATAACATTGTTTGGAAGTTGACAATACCTCTACTTCATGGAGTTTTGCCTCAAGTTTCAACTGATTCTCAAGTTTCTTTTGCTTCATCCGGCCTTCAGTAACCATGGAAATCCAGCGAGATCTAATCTCTGCTTGAATTTTGCTCCAAAAATGTATATGACTCAAAGCAGATGATGTTTGGTTTTTAACAGCAATGCCATCTACGACATCTTGAATTCTACCTATTCCTTTCAAACGAGGCAGACGTTTTCTTGCCTGCAATAACGACAAATAGAGTATAGGGTATGATAAGAAGTTATAATTTTTCTAGTTGCAGATCGAGGCTTATCTAATCTGCCAGAAGAGAGGGTTGATGTAGAGGAATATATAGGCAGTGAAACCAAGATTCAACAATTAAACATGTATAAAACATGATAGAAAGCTCTGCAGCAAAAAAAGGAACAATCTTGGGAGTAATTATCGATTTTTTTGACATTTACTTACAATGTATGCTTTGAAGGCCTTCTGAATTTGCCTGGCAGCATCGTCCTCAGTCAGTTGCTTATTCTTCGTTGAAATGCCATTGGCAAGATTTCCAGGCACTTCAGCAGAATGATTTTTCCCCTTGCAGCCATTTGATTTTTTGGGTGCACTCTGCACCAATTCGTACAAGACCATACGGAGAGGGAATAAATTTATCTAACTCTGTAGATTATATATACAAAGAAGAGAGAGGATACATTTGAAAGAGGTAAAAGTTAAGTACATCAAACCAGAAGTAAAAAGCATAAGTTATTGTTCTGCAAGTATGAACTCGACATGGATAATTCATTCACTTTTTCACGGTGGTCTGTCAAAGAAAGATTTGAGTATTTTGTCGAAACCAAGCCAAGTTCACTTCTATGAGAAAACATTGTGACTATACTATTCGTAAAGGAGTATAGATATTAGTTAATAATTGATGTTATAATCGAAGAGTAGTATATCTGTGTAAAGCTGTGAAGATATCTGCTAGTCATAAAACATAAAGATCAGCAATAAGTTTTAGTTCGGATATAAGAAGGCACAAAACCATTTATTCGAAAGAAAACTAACCTCCACTTGCTCTTTTTTAGTTTCCTTCCGTCGCTTTAGGCAAATCTTTTTCTTAAGCCAATCATTCCAACCCATTTCTATTTCTCTAAAAGCTGAGTGACAGTATGGAATATGGAGCCTAGCATATACCTAACACAAAAATTTTCGTACAGTTTATTTTCCTTAAAAGTTCACAAGAAAAAGGAAAAATAACATTAACATTAACATCCACATCTTGGACTGAGAGCAAAACATATGAATGCAATGCATGTGGTATCTCTTTACTAGACAAAAACGAAATTTCCCAATGGCCGGCCTGCTTGGACATCTCTCATTCTGCTGTCTGCTTATCTTATTTCATTTGCATTTGGTCTTCCCTTTAAACTTGTCCCTTGATTCCAATCAGCTCATCTCGGAAACACAAACTTGCCAATCCAATAGATCAATATCAAACAAATGGTCTTATGCAAGATAAGATTCGTAACAATTCGCATCTTCAAATCACATGATTATTACGAATTTAAAACCAGTACTGCCTGAATCCTGACATGTCACATCTTAGAGGGACAAAACATTCTGAGACAAATTACTATAAAAATACAAAACAAGACAAGCACTTGAAAAAGAAATTAACAGCAAATATCAATATACACAAAATTCCATCTTTTCAGTAAAAAGAATGTGGGAATACGTACCTGGGAATAGCCAAAAAAGATGTTGGTTCATGCAATGGTGTGCCTGTGGAGAAGCTTTGGTGCGGGTAAATGGCAAAATGTGGTGGGTTGTATAATGACCTGCGACCAATATATTAAAGAATAGGCAAAAATGTTTTATTTTTTGCTGTATAAGTTTCGACTTGGAAATGACAATCCAACTAAATAGAAGGTAGGGTGTTAAATTTGAATTTTTGAAAGCTCAACAGTCAACAGCACATGAAGGTGTGGTGTGGGTTTGTTTTCAAAACCTTTACTACGGGCATTTCTAATGGTGATTTAAAATAGAGATTTAGATCTTTAAGGTGACCGAAAACCTCTCTAATGGAGACATGCAAAGGCGATGCAAATTGCATTTTTCGGCATTTTATTTTTACATCCATGAGAAGCAAAGAGTGAATTTAGATCAACCCATTAAAACAGAATTTGGATTTAGATCCACCACGATGCAAAAGTAGTTTTAAAAATATCATTGTACTCTCAATTTTACACCACCACCATTAGATATGCTCTGCTGGCTTTTGAAATGAATTTGTATAGACTTTGAATTAAAGAAAGAGAAAAAATTGTTTTCACGTAAGTACATAATTATGGAGTAGGGTTGTCTGTGGGGTTTGAAACGACAGAAAAAAAGACAGAAAAAAAAAATTTAAGCCAAAAATTTGGTACATGTGGGGTTTGAGTTTGCAGTAACAGAGTAAAGAAAAAGTTCAACAGAAAATCTTTGGTCCCGGCGGGGCTCGAACCCGCGACCTTCGGCTCATAAGACCAACGCTCTAACCAACTGAGCTACGGGACCTTTGTATTTTAGTGATTTAAATAACCCATAAAATATATGTATGATGTATATCACTATCGTATTAAAGATGTAATAAAATATCAAATCTTATTTCTTTTCTTTAAATTAAATATAATATCTATTTTAAAATAATAATTCTCAAATTCAATCTAAACATATATTTAAAAAATTTTCAAAATGTCTATTTGAATATTTAAAATCAGTCTTTTTATGATGTAAATATCTAAATTAAAATTAAAAAATCATAAGCTTATAATCGGCCAAATCAAATTTTATCATGCATGGACTGAAATTAGCTGTAAAAAGCTTAACCTATCAAACTGTACTATGAGATACCTAAAGAATAAGCTTAGACAAAAAAAAAAAAAAAAAAAAAGGGTATTCAACGTTCTTTTTATCTTCGAACAAAATTATCAATAATTGAATTTCATAATGTGTCTGTGTTTACTTACGAGTTTGTTCGTCAAAATCCCGCAAGCCTACGGGTTCGTTATACAAGTAATAATCGTGATGAGAGAGTTATCGTCTTACAGGAAATAAGGATCAATTTTAGTATATTTGATATATTTAAATTCGTGTTTGTAACTAAAAGACGATCGAAGGAATGGCTAAATAATTTTTATAACTAAAACTTGTGAAAACAATTAAAATTGGTTTAAAAGTTCAAATGTTTGCACGTATTAGATTTCTGACGCCACTGATCAATTCTTAGTTCTAATTTTCAACCAGTAATAATTATCTCAATTCATGCAATTGTGAAGATTGATAATTCCACTATTATTTATTATTCTTTCCCCAGATATGATAAACATATGGTTACCACGAGACGATCATATTCTTAGTCCGAATTCATATAGCAAACATGCATTGACATTTAGGATTATCACATATGATCGCACACGCCACAAATATTATTCCTAATATTTATTTTCTGTGTATCCCAATAATAGTGTTCTACTTATCGTGAGTTTTTCAACACTACGAATAAACAACTTATTGTCCTAATAGTACGCAAACATTAAAATAATATAAATAGGCATATTAATGGAATCACAATGCAAGATTTAACACAAAATACAAAGTCTTGAATTACAAACTAATAATTAAACAATTTTGTCATTCATCCAATACATGAAAATATTTAGCCTAACATCACGTTGGAATTAAACACACAAAAGTGGAAGGAAATCACAAAAAAACGACGGGAAGTGATTAAATTCCAAATTCTTTCTTCAACTGCTTTTGGTTCGTCTTCGTCCTAGAGGCTGCCTCTCCAATTTTATGCGTAAATATATAGCCTTACTCAAAAGCAGCAGTCTGATCTCTTCCTTTTTTTTTTTTTTTTTGGTCCAGCTGCCACCGCCAACGTGCGTATGTATAATAATTCTCAACAATATAGGCAGCCACAAATTCCCTTTCCTCCTTGGTTTTCTGTACGTCAAGTTAATAATAATGCCCCCCTCCCCCCCCCCAACCCCACCCCAAAACTCTGTTCCTCTTATCAGTATGTGTGTATATATGTTTTTGAAATTAGCTGCCCAATTTTATTAACACAAGAACTCCAATATGTCCCAATTGCAGCAGCCAACTCTATTTATATAAAATCTCTAAAGTTAACTCCACTAAAAGGGCTTCAATGTTTTGTCTTCTACCCCCATTGGCATCCACTGTTGTATATATATCCTTTTTTATCAACCACAGCAACCCTTCCTTTTTATCCAATTAAAGGTCCGATTAATGGTGCAAATAGGTACCAATTCAAGTTCCAACCTCGGCCCAATTCCTTGCGTAAAATAGGATTCCAATTGGCTAATGAATTTGAATCCAATTTTAAGTTCAAAACTTAGGCCCATTTAATTTATTATTTTCTTCATGACCTCCACTTTCAAAGTATAAAATTTGATCTCTAAACTTTGCATCAAATAGCCAATTAATCTTTCATTCTTTTCAAAATTCTTCAAACGAGTCTATCACTAAAAACACAAAGAAAATTACCCTAAGTTAAATAGAAATTAATAATTTGACGATGTAAAAGTTTAATAATGTGATATAAATAAATACACAATTGCACTTATCAGAGTTCATGCTTTATTCATAAAACAATGAACTCACCATATAATCTTTAAACTGTGAGCATCAATTGAAGCGATTCAACTAGCAATACAACTCGAGAATTTTCCATGTTTTTGCAGTCATATGATTCACGTTCAGAGAAGGGAGAACACCATGGCTTCAACTTCTTTTGTTTTCATCTATTTTTAGCTTAGCAAACTTGATACTTAATTTCTCATCTCTACTCCACTTCCTTATTTGTGGTTGCAAATTTGTACATCTCTCAATATCTTGCTGTCTCTTTCGATCATCCGTTAGTGTTTCTTGGTCCACACCACACCATTTTGCGAAGGATTCTGTGTCATTTTTGTAAGCCGTTCTTTATCATTTAACACTTGTACATCATTAGATTCCTCTATTATCGTTAGATGCTCTTATTCATTGATTATTTCTATGACATCTTGAATTTTCTCGAACTTCGCTACTTTGTTGTGCATTCTCTTTTAATTTGTCATTTATTTCCTTTGAATCTAGCAATTTAACCCTCTATGGTGTCTATCAAACATATGCTTCTTCAAACACCTTTTCTAAGTCTAGTAGTTTCTCCCCCTGTAGAGTTCACCCCGAAAACTCTTCATGGACCATGATGTCCTCTTCTGAGTCATAAACTCAATCATCTTCACAATTCATTTGTTTAGGTATGACCACTACTAATGATGATTCATCCTTTAAACTGAATTAAATTTCTTTTCTCGAACCTGCTCAATTATTGCTGGGGTTGCCTCGGTGTCCCATTTTTCTTCACTATTATATTTCTCTTGCTTATTGGAGGTTGCTACATTTCCTTCTACTGGATCATTTTTAAACCAACAATCTCAAGCATTATAATCTTGTTTTCCACATACAAAACATGAGCCATTAGTTCGTTGATATTCCTTAAACAGCTAGTCTCTTTTATCACAATTTTGTTAATCTCCCCTTGTCTGATAGCCTCCATCACATTTATTTTCTTTATTATTTCATTGACTTCTTCTTTTATAGCTAAATAACGCTTCTTCATCTTCTTTCTTTATTGAGACACCTAAAGTTTGTCTAGTCAATGTTTCTTGATAGGCCAACAAATTCTCGAGATTGACCAATGAAGGTTGTTATTGCCAACCTTGTATTACAGTAATAAAACTTCTAAATTCGAGTATCAAACAATGCATGATTATTCTTCTCATTCTAGAATTCGAAATCTTACTCGAAAAATCTAATTTTGAAATTTCGAGACAATTAAATTTAACTTTATTAAAATATTGACTTCTGTAAACACTCTTTGAGTGTTCAAGAGTAGCTCGTTTTCCAACAATTGCAACCTCAAATCATTTTTCTTCGAGAATAGTGAGGCTAAAGTTTTCTGTGCTTCCTTTGGTGCATTCTTGCCCCTTATGTGCTCCAACAATTTTTCTTCGATTATCGTTTTATAATGAATAAAGCCTTACCCATTTTGATTCCTCACTTCTTTAGAGCTCCAACTTCCTCTAATGGCATCACATCACTTTCGCCAATAACTTTCCCCAAGTCTTGCCCTTGGAGATATGACTCCATACAAGTTTGTTATGTGGTGTAAGTCTAATTACTGAGCTTCTTTACTTTGCCTACTGCTTGTAGATTGCTAATCGTGACTTGACTTACCTCCTCGTAATCAAGCAAATTTTACAAAAGCTTCACAATATTCTTTTGTGCGTGAGCTCAAGAACCTCAAAAATCTGTCCTCGACCATCTAGCTTTGATACTAAATTGTTAAGTTTAAACTCCAAAAGAAAATGATTTTATTGATATAAAATCACTTACACAATTTGAGACAAACACACTACTAATAATACTCAACGGAACAGTAATTACTCTTACGTATCTCAGCACACTTTCTCTCATCATTCATGTGCATCCACAATCCACACAACACCTTGTATTTATAGGTGTTAATGGCGATGGTGGATGGTTCTACTGTGATGGTGGTGAAGTTACAATCCTAATTCTAGATACATTCATAAATGGTGGTGATAGTAATTGGATTCTTCGAACATCTTCTAGGCATGGATGCATTCTAGATTTTTCCATTACATCAATAACGAAAGTCACTTGCTGCTCCTTGATTCTTCGAGTATGGCGGTGTGCAATTGTCAAGCAATTGGTTTCTTCTAGATCCTTCAGCTATGGTAGTGGAGAGAAATATATTTAGAGGCTTCTAGCAACGTCTAATTCTTCTTAAAATGTTGGTGATGATTTTTTCACAAATTGGGTTGGATTTTTTTTGTGAAATATATTTTTTCCTTTATTACACGCACTTTTATTGGAAAAATATTTTTTTTATTCACACACTTATTTAAAAAATATTTTTTCTTTTGTTCACACATCTGTATTGAAAAAATATTGTGTTCTTTAATTCTTTTGATTTTTTATCTTGTTTCCATCTTTATGGTATTTTTAAGGTTTGGCATACATCCTTATTAATATTATTAGATTCTTTTCATAAGTTTTGTATTACTGAAATGTAGAATAATTGTGTAGTTATAGTTATTGTATTTATTTTCTTTATATTCGTTAATTGAATAAAATAACACATTCCTCTGCCAATTAATTCTGTCTTTTATCTTATTATTTATTTACGATCATATATTTGAAGTGATATCAAAGCTATTGGTTGGGATTTCTTTGAGGTTTTTGTGTATTGAAGGCAAACATAAAGTATGAAATTTTGTTCTTGGATCGCAATACAAGATTCTTGTTGTGGCAAATGAAGATACGATATGTATTCGTGCAGATGGATTTGGATGATGCGTTGTTGGGATTTGATAAAATGTCCACAACTTGAACGATGGAGGAGAAATAACGAAAGGATCAAAAGGCACTTTCACAGATTCATCTTTATCTCTCTAACAATATTTTTCATGACGTCTTGAGGGAGAAAATGAATATTACATTGTGGTTGACTTTGGATAAATTGTGCATGACTAAAAGTCTGAAAAGCAAATTGCATCTAAAGTAGAAGTTGTATTCTCATCGCATGGCAAAATGCAAATCTTTGGAAAATCATCTAACTGTATTCAAGGAGATCATCGCTGACTTGAAGAATTTATAAGTAAAGTATGATGAAGAAGTTTTGGTCTTAATCCTTTTGTATTCATTGTTCGCTTTGTTTAGAGACACGATCTTATATGAAGATGCGTATGATGCCTTGTTTTCAAAAGAGAATATAAAGCATCTGGTTGGATCTGAGACCAGAGACGGAGAAGGCCTTGTTGTTCATGATGATCGGAGAATAGGTAAGTCGATGTCAAATTTCAGTAATCATGTTTGTTATAATTTCAAGAAGGACACATTAAGAGAGATTGCGACAAATTGCAGAACAAAAAGTAATTTGATTGCAAATCAAGGGAAGAAATGAAATACTTTAGACAAGACCAACATAGTCGAGAACTATTTGAGTGATGAAGATATTTTAACTATTTTTGATATGGAATCCAAACTTGATGAGGAGTGAATTTTGGTTATAGCTTGTGAATTCCATATGTGTCCCAATAGTAATTTTCTTGAAACATACGAAATGGTGACACAAGGTGTCATTGTCATGATTAACAATGAACCTTATCGAGTGATTGGTATTGGTAGAGTTGGATTGAAATTGGTGGATGGAACGAGTAAAACACTTGATCTAGTTCGACAAATTCCAAACTCGAGAAGAATCTCAATTTGTTAAGTACTCGTGATTCAAAAGGGCGCACGTTCTGTGGAGGAGGTAAAATCTTGAAGGTTTGGAAGTGTGTTCATGTTGTACTAGAGAAACAAAAGAAGTCCCAGTTATATACATTGTAATTCGAGCAAAATTTGTGAAAAAAAAAGGCAGCACAGATTTAGTGCAGTGGTGGATTTTCAATGTGGTACTGTACCTTTGGGATTTCGTTCAAGGTCTATATTGAAGAATACGACTCAGTCAAGTTTGAAAGATATTGGTATTTCTACTTAGCCACCGTTACCTATGATTTCATCGTATTCAACTACTAGAGATAGACCCATTGGAGATAGGTATGTGGATGTTGATTCGATTGCACATATTTTTAACATTTTTGAAGATGTTGAGAGGGGCCTTCTATGAAAGCATTGGAAGTTAATTCTACTACAGTGTGTGCTTTGACACTATTTCATATTTCTAATTCTTTGTGAATTTTGGAAAAATATGGTGTTTGAGCTCATGTATCTGTAGTGGATATCGTGGAAGATGATGAGTATTTTAGTGTTGGAAAAAGTTTAGTTCTTGTTGAAGAGTTCAAAATTTTTGTTGCAGTCAGATATAATTTTTCATGTGGAGAAATTTTGGAGTTTCGTTCATTGCATCGAAATTTGTATCAAGATGGAGATTGTTGGATTTTTCGACCCAAATTAGGTTGAATTTTTTTAGGGAAAATATTTGTCCCTCATTACACCCCCTTTTATTGGAAAAGTATATTTCCTTTATTCCACGCGTTTTTGTTGGAAAAATATTATTTATTTCATTCCATGTGATTTTTTATCTTGTTTCCATCTTTGTAGTATTTTTTGGGTTTGCCTTGCACATCTATAAATATTATATTCTTTTCACAAATTTTGTGTTACTGAAATATAGAATTATTGTGTATATACAATTATTGTATTTATTTTCTCCATATTCGTCAATTGGATAAAATATGTCGTTTCTTTGCCAATTAATTCTTTACCTTTTATCTTGTTGTTTGTTTACGATCATATACACTATATCGTGTAATATACATTACCTCCATCAATTTTATTTTCCAACAGTTTTTACCCAAAAGTGTGAAGAGGTATTTTTTTCCTATTTTGTAATCAGCACTCATTTTGTTGGTAAACTACTGGGATAGTTTAGTATTACTTCCGTGCTCTCATGGAATGAATTTTGTGTTTTTGGGAGTTCAAAGTTTGAATCGGTGAAAAAATGGAATTTGAAGGAATCATGTGGTTGGTATGGATAGCAATGAGGCTGAGGTCTTCAAGAATTTGAAGTGTTAAACAAATTTCTTTTTGTTAAACCACATGACCCTCACCCTGCTTTAAGATTCATTGACAAAACTTAGCAACAATGGGAAAAGATCTATACTTACAAGTGATGGGGCTGGGTTCTGAGTTTGCGTTATCATTCTATGGTGTATTTTTTCCTTTTAAGATTCAGTTACGACTGTTTAATGCAATGGCAAATGTGTAGTATATTCTTGATCTTGAACACACCACGGACAAAGTTTTTCTGAAGGTCGGTATATGAAAATTTGTCTGAGGCTGCTTGTTGCTGATGGTGGCATATATTCAACAGAGGGGTTATTCCACTCACCTACAGCATTAGGAAGAAAAACAGCACTTACTGATCTACCAAAATCCTGGATGTTCCAGCGAATACAAAACAGACATTTGATAATGTTATCCGATCATTGAATTTCAAGATAAGGAAAAGAAAGTTGTTTTGAGAAACCTACCTATCTCACATGAAAGATGATACCATTATCGCATTGCCATTTTGTCCTGATTAACCAACTTCCAACTCATTTTCAGTGATATCTCGAGCTACATTGTACGCTTTAGATTTGATTAAATCAAGAATTAGTCGCCTTTTGAAAATACATTCATGATGGCCCTTCTTATTCATGTTTATTCTAGTTTACTCTTGTATATATTTCAAGAAGATTTTGATTTTCTGCAACCCTGTTTTGGGATGTTCACTCCTAGTCATTCTTGTACGAAAAATGTGAGGTATTTTGTCTTTCATATGTGGAACTTGGAATGCTTAATGAAGGGAACATTATAGACAATGTGTGGTCTCAGTTTCTCACTTGAAGGTAGATGAAGATATTACTTAGAGAAGCTGGTTTTTATAAATTATAATGAATTAATTTTAACGCACAGATTATATTTGAAAAAAATTGTCCTGCGTGACTAATGGTTGTCAATTCTGATGACGAGGGTGGTTTAACAATTGCCCAGGGATGGCAAAAAAAAAAAAAAAGAAACCTCGTCTGTCTCGATTCCGCGGTGCCCTTTACTAAACACGTGTTTACGTGTTGTTAATGTTCTTGATGTTAGTTAAGCACAGTTCAGAAGAAAAAGAGTGGGAAAATCGAAAGTGTCCAACAAAATAGTATATATACTGATTGATCAATAATCCAAGATCTGTGCAACTATATCACATATTAATTAAAGGTGAGGCAGAAAATACATTTCCAAGTTAAACAAATTTCAACATTCAAATGCATATAATCCTACTAGAACGAACACAGCATTCTTGCATAATCAAACTAACAAATGAACTAAGTACATTTTGAGAAACAGACACAAGGCCGCAAATGAATGTTTCCGGACTTGTTAACTGTTTAGTCACATTTCTGCGAGTATATACATACATTGAACGAGATCCTCCCATGCTTGGTAAGAGGGAGAAGTAATTTTACTCAGTGTTCCAACTTCCATTGCTCCTCTATTTACAAGTCCTCCCTCGCTTGGGTCAATGCTGTGGATTTGCAGATGGGACAACTGTTCTTCATCAGCAGCCACTTCTTTATGCAATGCCTGTGATATTCGTGTCCACAGTCGAGGATTCCAATTCTTTCTTGCTCCTTGTAATCAGTCTAAAAAAAGCCAAGCAAACTGAAGTTTTACCAAATTTAAAGCAACAATTCTACATCCCTTTTTCCCATGGCAACATAAAGGGCCGAAAAATGTCAAGAAAAACATGATACGCAGTATGGGGGTGGGGGTCTTGTATACCAAATGCAAGAGAATGAAGAATAAGCAGTATTAAGTATCAACCAAACGAGATGTCACCGTTATTTTACTTCACTGTTCAAGAATTTTTCAGAAACTAACTAGTGAGAAGTTAAGTGCATACCTTAGACACCACATAATGCAATCATCTTCATTATTAGATGTACCAAAAGATGATATTAGTACCTGGCATATTACACAGAAATTGATTTCTTGTTCCACACATGTTGTCCTGTCAACACTGGAACAAGTTGCTGATGAGGCAAAAGTTCCTACTTTCAAATCACGTCGAATAGCTTCTTCAGACAATCCAGTGACAACACTACCAATTTGTTCCCCTAATGCGAGAAGCTCCTGTGGTATAGTGGCAAAATTTAGAAATTTGGGGTCAATCTCACATATAAAACAACCATTCATCAACAGCTCCGATATCCCAATCATTGACAGTAAGAGAAATGTAACAGTAAGAGAAATGTAACATTTCTGTTACCTCATAAGACATGTGATCTGTATCCAAACGCATATCCCTGTGATGATCGATAGTATCTCTGGCCTCATGATAGCCAGGAATCTCTAGCATGGCAACTTCCTACAATGACAACTCATAGCAAATATACTGAATAAATTATATTACTTTGTATTCCATCAACAGACGTTTAACTCTAATTCTCCCAGTAATCAGACAATGTAATCAGTTATGACAGAAATGACAATTATATAGATGAAACAAGAAAAACAATGATAAGAGCTTTACATCTTCTGGTAGAAATCTCAAATGAGGAAGGTTCTGATGCCTTGTATTTGAATCAAGCATGACTTCCCTTTGATGAGGCTGGTACAACTGAAAGCCCATTGGTGGAACAGGTGTTAGAAATGTTGAGCCTGCCTCTACAGTATCCTGGAAAGGACTGATGCCACTATTTGAAGAACTAATAGTAGTGATTCTGTGTGATGATGTCCCTACTTGCAAAGGCAAGTTGATATTATATCCTCTCGCCCCTTGCATAGGTGGCTGTGGATGATGATTCAGATTAAGATGGCCTTGAGGAATAGGAGGTGGAAGAAAACTATGGGAACTTCCGCTGTTGGCTGTGACTTGATAACCTTGAAAGCCAATATTCCCAGCTTCAGGACAACCTCCATTGACATTTGCTTGAATGACAAATAACAGAAAGGTGTTGTCAGAATAGAGAACACATCATCAAAATTACCTAAAACCAAAGCCTGCAAACAGATACCATGCATATAAGGTAAAGTGGGAGTCTGGTTCCAGGCAAAAGTCCCACTATCACCATTGTTAGCATTGAAATGCACGTCCAACCAAGGATTGCCAGGCAAATGTACAGGTTGAGTGACATAATTTCCTTGAATCAAATTACCAGTGTTTTGTGCCATTATAGATTCAGATCTAATCATACCAGGTCTGTTCCTCACACTTCTGTGAGGACCGCTTTCAATCATTGATGTGGAGTCATTAGTTGCACACTCAGGTGGCAGAAAACTAGCAGCACCTGTTATAATAGTATCAGACCCAACTGGCCTTGTGGGGGCAACAGAAGAACTAGATCCTGCTGAAGCATTATGATACTGGTAATTTACAGGAAGCCCCTCATCATTCTTTCTCTTGAATGAACCTCTGACACCATCCATGTAGGGAATGTTCCTCCCAAAACTATCTGTAGGAATACCAACAATTCCCTGAGTGCCTGAGAGTGACAAATGATCATGTGCCCCATAATTCATGGGCAAAGGGAAATCTATAATACCAGATGGAGGCACCATATACGGATTGTAATGACGAGATGGTGCACCAACAACCAAATCAAGATTGGAAGAGGGATGGGGATGCTGATCCTGATGCTGAACACCGTTGTACTGCATCATCCCATAGAATAATGCAACATCATGATGTTCAGGCATATGGTGGATATTAAAATTACAAGCATTTCCAGGAGGAGGAATCACTGTATGCACACTAGTCTGAGGAAATTTTGCAACACTCCCATTAAAGAGTCCAGGCTTAGGATGTAGATGGCCTTGGCCTTGCTGATCTGTTTCCAAATCAATCGAATGACCGGAATAATGTGTGTTTTGGTGCCCCATGTAGTTGAAAGACAGTCTGCAGATGATGCCTGGATCAGAAGGAAAGATACATAATTAGAAAGAAGTTAGATTAATCATTTTAGCATAGAACAACAAATTAAAATCAAATAAACTCAGCTTAGCAGAGCCAATGAGTCCTTAGCTTATAAAAATACCAACCGATGTAGAATTCTAATAAGAAAGCCCAAAAGATAATTTGATTGCAACCCGTAATAACAATCGATGGCGATGATTGGATTCCAACTCATTATGATAGTCAACGTCGAAATGACCTAAGATGATGAGTCTATATAAGATTAATTGCTTGATCTTAGATGACTTCAATATCCTTATGAGCATTTGCTTCAGCCCAGGAAGGCGTATTATTTTGTCTTTTACAACAGAATTCAACTTAACCAAAGAGGGAAAAACAGATGTTGTCAAAATGAGAAAAATGAACGAATATGATGGACATGAGGAACCCTCTAATTGGACCTCAAAAAATTATTTTTATGACTCGCCATTGTACAAAAGAGTTGAAGAATAAAGTAATCCTGCGGAGACAGAAAATCCTGCAAAATAATTTTAAAAGCTTCATTCATCCATACAACACATTAAATTCTCCTATCTAAGAAAATGTATTACGTGTAAACTCACAAAGTCTACATAGAATAATAAGCCTCGATGATAACTAGCTGTCATCTAATAGAGAAGCTCCATTACGCTCAAGTTATCCTCCAGATACCTCTGGCCCCAGCCCCTCGAAAATGAGAAAATAGGATTCTCTTAAACTCAACCAGAGGGCCTCTCACTCTCTAGATGGCCGTCCAAACTCATTTTCCAATGAAAAACATCTATCCTTAACTTGAGAGTGTGGAAAATCATTCCTGGGTCATTGGACTTGCAGAATATAGAAAACATGAGAACACCTATCCCCCAGGGTTGGGGACAAAATATACAAGTCTCTGGAGATGATACCTACAAAATGCCAAAAATCTGATGTGATAAAAGGTTCAAAACTTATGGGAGAAAGGAGAGGGTCAGGATTTACTTACAAATTTGGCATCTATTAAAACAACCTTTAAAACTTATGAGAGAAAGGAGGGTTAGAGATTTACTTACAAATTTGGCATCTATTATACCAACCTTTAATGTTACTGTAATAAAAACGTATTTCCTTGCTAGGAAAAGATATTAGCGGACTGAACATCAAGAACACTAGTGTCCATGAGGTGCGAAAACAAATCCCAATAAGTCTATGCAAAATAAACAAAAAAACACACACCTAGAGAAACATCCTTATTCCTTCTCTTCAAGGTCTTGTCTGCCTTAAAACAGATCCATCCATGATGGCAATTTCACTTTAATACAGATTGCATCTATATTGTCATAATTCCCATTAACTAAGTTGGCATTTTCTTTTAAAAGCCAATAATATCTGATAAAATAATGATGAGTAATGATTCAGCCCTAGATTAAGAAAGTGAAACTAAACATCCCTTCTATAATAGTCAAACATTTTTTAAATTAATTAACAAAATTTGCAACACATCTTCCTAAAATATTAATAGCATACTCTATTATCAAATATTATTTACTAAATTAACAGTCTGTGCATTTACCAAAATATTTATGTACCTGGATAGTATCAATTATTTGCCGCAGAAGTAGCAAGCCGCAACAAGCTCAGTGCCTCCTTCTGAAACAGGTAGTTTGAAATTTGAAAGCCAGCAAAAAGAAACAAAAAACCCAACATTAGGAAATTATAAAATCAATAGATTCCGCATTGTATTAAGAACCCACACCAGAAATTTCACAGAGAAAGTTAAATCTCGTGTTATTTAGTCCTCCAGATTGGCATGCAAA